CTCCATATCTTCCCCATCCAAATCCGCCATCTGCTCTTGAATTTGTACCTCGTTCATCTCTCCTCTTGGCAGCCCTTGGCGAGCAAAAACAACTGGCGCCGGCTTTACCATATTGCATGCTGGCGCACCTCGCCGAGATAGAGCCTGTACCCGTTGTTGGTCCGCTGGGAACGCAGGAGCAGGGGCATCCGAGCTCCTCCCGAGCTTGAGCTGCGGTGATCGATGGATCCTGAACCCGCGCGGGCTAGCATGACGTGGAGCTCTCTGTGGCGACAAGGCGGCGCGCACAGCTGGATGGGTAGGCCGCCCATGGTATCCCTCATCCACCATTGCCCCCTTCGGCTTCGGGAATGCTGACGCAGCCTTGTCAAATCTTTGCTCATGGAGGCTTTTGTTAACCCAAACCGAGCTTTGCACCCTGGGAAAATTCTGTTTCTGATCCTCATTATCATAAACTCGAGTGCCAAGTTTCCTTGTGGACATGTGAGGACCGAAATTCTCTTCTCTGGTTGGAGGCTCAAAAGTACAGGCCCTGAGTGAGTGACCCACTCTACCACACTGGTAGCAAAAACTGGGAAGATATTCGTACTTTAGGCCAACCCAGAAGTCACCCGTATCATCGTTGGTGGCAAAAATCTGGGAACGGAGTGGCTTAGAGAAATCAACCAGTGCTTTCACTTTCACAAACCAGTTGCCCGTCTCCTGACAAGCAAAAACTCCAGACTCCAGGACCTTTCCAATAGTGGTATTCACCACTTTCCTACCAAACTGCTGTGTACAGCAATCTTCTTTCACGTCCCACAATTGCAGCCGAAAGGGGACAACAGCAAGCTCATCATATGTCTGTTTCGTAATGATCGGAGTCCATTGGCGAAGGTGGATGATTTTGTCGTTGATCACCCACGGTGAGCGCTTTAGCACCCATGTTTTTGCTTCCTCACTGGGAAGCATGAACTCAACCAGCCCGTGCTTAGCGAGCACAACCCGAAGGCGCCCTTGGATGAGCCATGGGTCGAGCACCGCCTCACGGAGTTCCGTGGTGGAGATCCTATTCTCTGTGAACACCCGTCCCAGCAGCGAATGGGCAGCTCGATATCTGGTAGATTGAACCTCCTCCATCGAAAATTGAACCACTTGATCAGAAGCGATGCGCGCCATCGTTGAAACCTGGATCAGAGAGGTGACACTCGCATTAGCATTCCTGTTTTCCTCAACGGGGGGCGATAATTCCCAGCCCGTATCATTAAATAAGGGCGGAGTGTGATGCAGCAGGCCGCTGCCGAGCTCATGCATGGGAAAGGTCATTAAAAGATTTGACCATGCATTAGCAGTAGGATTACGTAAGAAAGCATTGCAGAAAGTACCTGAACTGGAGATGTTGCTAGTCGGCACTGGATCCTTCTCGCTTTGCGCTGTTCGCCTTGCTCGGATATGAGGGATTATCTGAGAGCAAGGAACAATCGTCAGCGGTTTATAAAGGATGCCGAGCCCCGTAAATAGCTGACCTCTCTCCAGCCGGTTACTGCTTTTTAGAATCCCATTAGGAGTGGGATACTTGAGAGCAACGTCCGGAATCTTATTCAAGAATAAATTAATATCCATCCTAAAAGAAACCTGAGACGTGTTTAATAAAACCAGCTTATTCCTCCGACTTTCCTGGACGTGCGGTATTCGCATAGAGAGAGGAGGACTCTCATCCAAACGAAACATCGTACCAGGGGTAGGAATCTGTTGAGCCGATATCAGGATCGGGATGCCACTGTGTACAATCCCGAAAAACCCTGAGGGAATATCCGATGAGATAACAAATTTTCCGGATTCTGTCGGGTAGCAGGATTTTCCGCTCCCCCGTCATTGACGGCAGACTTCTTGTCGCCGGTGATTGAATTCCTCCCCGACCGCCAGCAGGCGCCACCGTGAGCCGGAGGTTTCAAGTCATATTCTATTGAGAGGGAAGGAGAGGTATTCCCGGTTACCATTAAATCGTTGGCAACCATAGCGGTTTGATTGAATACCAACTCCCCCATCTCATCAAGATCAAAGTCGTCAACTGTCGGGATCTTAAATGTCCAGACGACCACTTTTGAGAATCTTCGACGCTTAGCGTCAATGGCGCTCATACCATCACCATTTTCCGGGTTGAACTTGAGTTTACGTTTGCCTCTCTGACACCTTGGTCTCCGACTGTCTATGGACAGCCTACCGTAGGCTGGTACCGTCGAGCGAGATCTACCCTCCATAGAGGGCCTCTTCGTCCATTCTCCGCTCACCTTCTTTCCGGTATCCTTCGGAATGAGTGGACCTCCCCAGATGAGCCATATGTTGATTGCGCAGGCAGCACAAAAGCATTGACGACAGTAGGGTGTGGACAAGGAACACGAGCCACCGTCCCATCTGCAGGAGAGAGGAGAGAGCGTTTCTCTTTTTTTTTTTTTTTTTTTCTGAGGTAACTTACTACTTGCCGATAACTTTCTGACTGCTTAACACTCCTTCTTGCCTATGTGTGAATTTTTTTGGGGGTGGGGGTGGGGGGGGGGTGGGGGTTGGGTTGAGACTTATTATGAATTAGGAGAGCGAGTGAGGTGGACTTGGGAGTTGAGCTGAGGTTTGTGAGAAGTGAGGGGAGATTGGGGAGTGCAACTGTGGAGGTGGGTTGGGCTTGTGAGACTGCGAAAAAGAGCAAGCTGCCAAGCAGGAAATCAACAAAATCTCCGACAAACCTCCGCCGCGTCCCCAACTCGGCAAAAATGCGACAGCGACACTTCCAGCTTTCACTAATCGCTTTGTACACTTATGGATGGTCTGGATTTAGTGGCATAGTCGGATTCAGTTTTAGTTGGGTTTTATTTTGTTGTTGTAAAACAAGTAGTCAAGTACCATAAAAAATCAGCAAGCATCCTTTCTATTTCTCGAGCTGACCCGATCTGAGTCAAGGCGTTAAGGACCTCAAGCCGACTCTTGTCTGCGAGGTTCTGTGTGTCAAGCAAAAAAGTTGGACGATCTCTTATGCACGAGCATTGGTGTACATATTGGGGGGCACATTTATACGACAATTTGAAATGAGCCAACGGAAGCAACGACTTTGATTTGTCAATAATAACCTTCTTTTTTTTTTTGTGAAATACACAAATATTTACTTCTGTCCAATTCTTTAACAGTGTCAACGAAGTGGATGACCAGATTAACTGAGATGTTGATATGGCAACTCTCCTTGAGGATAAATTCCACATGGAAAATTAATGATAAGCTGTTATTGCATTTGCTACGCCATAAACCCAATCCAATCGATTCATGAACATTGAACAAACCGAAGCTCTTGGATTAAAATTTGGTGAGCCAAATTTAAATCATCAACAATCATAATTAACAATAAAAAGAGTTGGGAAAAAGAAAAAAAGAATTAAATTGTAGTATTTTCCTCAACACAAAATAACAAATCAAAGAGAAAGAAGAAGAAAAAAAAGGGACAAATCTCAGTTTTTTTTATCAGCTCAGTAATACAAATGCCTTCCAATGTCCAGAAGGAAGACGATTCCCGTCTCCAGTAACTTAGTAGTACGGAATCGATGGCGGCGGCGGCGAAGCGTACGATACCCCTATCACCGGTGGCAGAGGCACGCTTTCAGGAGGTGGCGGAGACGGCGGCGGCGGTGAGTGGCGAGGAGGGGGAGGCGACGAATACGTGTAATGGGCGGAGGAGGACTTTGGTGATGTGGAGGCGGCGGCGGAGGGGATTGCGGCGAGTGGTAGCTGGGGGTTGGCGGCGGCGGCGGCGGCGACATTGTTGGTGATGGCGGCGGGAGCTCACATCCGGGCTTCGATGGTGGAGGCGGCGGTGGCGGTGGAGTTGTGCATGGAATTGGCGCGGGAGCGTGCTTTGGCGGTGGGGGGCGTGATGCTCGCCCGTTGGTGGTGGCGGTGATTGCTGGTAAGTAGGCGTCGGGGGCGGCGGCGACTGAGGTGGTGGTGGAGGAGACGAATATTGGTAGTAAGGAGGCGAGTGGTACTCGACCGGCGGCGGCGGTGGTGGTGGGGAGGAGTAAACTGGCGGCGGTGGTGGTGAGGAGTACACTGGCGGGGGAGGAGGAGGTGGTGAGGGTGGTGGCGGCGGTGGAGAGTAAACTGGCGGTGGTGGGGGAGGTGGGGAAGGCGGCGGCGGTGGTGGAGAGTAGACCGGTGGAGGTGGGGGAGGTGGTGATGGCGGCGGCGGTGGGGGAGAGTACACTGGTGGTGGAGGGGGTGGCGGGGAAGGCGGGGGCGGTGGTGGAGAGTAGACTGGCGGGGGAGGGGGCGGTGGAGAAGGCGGTGGCGGAGGTGGAGAGTACACTGGCGGTGGTGGTGACGGAGGAGGAGGAGATGGCGGTGGAGGCGCGTGACGTGTCCCTGGCGACACCTTTTCCGTAGGAGGCGGTGCTGTCTGTTGCGTGGGAGGAGGGGGCGGCGGTGGGAGATGAGTCACAGGGGACAACCCTAGAAGAAGGCGGCGGTGGAGACGGAGGTGAATGGAAAGAACCCGTCGGAGGCGGAGGGGAGCGCGATCTGGACGAAGGCGACGACCTAGACTTCGGAGGCGGTGGAGATCTTCCAACGATCGGCGGTGAAGGCTTGGGCGTGGAAGGAACATTAACCGGAGGCCGTCTCCGCCCTCCGCTAGCGCTCCCACTTCCACCACCACTTCCTCCTCCTCCGCCGCCCCCGCCGCCGCACTTAAACTTGCTACAATCAACCGGCTGCGCAGCTCCCGACGAACACTCCCTACCAGATCTCTGATCGCCTTCCCAGCAACAACAATTCCTCGTCCCGTTAACCGCCACGCCGCGCCTAACCGCACCGCAGCTCGGCGCCTCGCCGGAGAAGTAGTTGAACGAGTAGGTAAAGTTCTGCAGATTCGGCAACGAGCAAACACTCGCCGGAACAACGCCGGTGAACTGATTGTGCGCCACATTGAGCTGCTGGACCTTCCTCATGTTGCCAATGCTCGACGGCAACGAGCCCTGTAAATGATTGAAGCTCACATCGAACACCGTAACTTCCTTCAACATCCCGATCTCCGCGGGCAAACAGCCCGTGAGGTTATCATTCATCAGAATAATCTCATTACAGCGTCTTCCCCATCTTCCCGATGCTCCCCGGGATACAACCGCCGAGGTCGTTGTTCGCGGAAAACGAGCACCGAAACCGGCGAGTTCCCGAGATTCTTCGGGATCCCGAACCGGAATCGATTATCGTTCAGAAACAGAGCATCCAGCGGCTTATCAAAGAGCTCGGAAGGAACGGAGCCTTCGAAATCGGTTGAATCTCAGATCCAGAAATTTCAACGAAGGGAGGGAGATCACGACGGTGGGGAACTCCCCGACGAACCGATTGTTGCTGATGTCGAGCTCGTGGAGGAGCTTGAGCTTGCGGAACGATTTGGGGACGATGCCGCAGAACCGATTGGAGTTGATGTGGAAGAGGGCCAGATCTGTGAGGAGGCCGAGCTCGGAGGGGAGGTACCCGGCGATGTCGGCGTGGTTGAGGTCGATGCCGGCGACGACGCGGAGCTTGGGGTTGGTCAGCGAAGGGGCGCAGAAGACGCCGGAGTAGGAGCAGACGGCGGGGCCGGTCCAGTTGGCGGTGAAGTTGAAAGGGTCGGAGTAGATGGCCTGCTTCCATGATTGGAGGGCAATGTAGGCATTGCGGAGGCGGGGGTTTTCGAATCGCATGGAACGCGGGATTGCGGACGGCCTCGGAGTCGTCATCGTCGGCGGCGGAGGCGGCGGAGATGAGGAGGCAGAGGAAGAAGAGGGAGGAGATGGAGCGGGGAGACATTGGGCGGCGGCGGCGCATTGGTGGGAGGAGGGCGGTGGCGGCAGAGAGAAAGAGGAATGGAGGTGGTATATTATTTGATTCAGGTGAAGGAAATTTGAAAGAGGAGAGAGAGAGGGAAAGAGGAGGAAGGAGAAGAGAGAGAGGACAGTCTGCCCATGTTTTCCGTCTAGCCATGTTGAGGGGGCCGGTTTTTATAAATAAAAACTGGCAGGGAGGGATTATTAATTGTTTTTATTTATTTATTTTGATTTTTGAGGTCTTTCTAGTTGGAACTTGGAAGCGCGGCTCCAGCTTTACTAATTTCTTTGGAACTAATTTTATAATGATTAGTGAGTTAATTAAAAATTAGGTGGATGAAAATTTTGGGGGGGCTGTTTGGGAGGAAGGTTAGGAAGGAAGAAGGAGGACAAGGTCAAATGGGAATATTGATGAAATTGAGAACATGGGAGGCACGAACCAAAATAGTGTAGTTGCTGAAGTTGGAAAACGAAGACAATGAACAAAATAAGTGGAGTGAGTAGTGGGTTTTTTGACATCATAGAGAAAGAGAAGCAAACGCATTTGTTTTGTGTACACTGAGGTAACAATGTACCAGGGATAAAACCAAACGAAAAGAGTGTGTAGTTGTTAGAGAAATCGAGTAGTGGATTGACAGTTTGGGATATTTTGCAAGGTTAGCGTTCTGTTAACGTCGTGAGTTAGAGTTCGATTATTGGTATTGGCGCTTATTGATCAATTTATGTGGATACCAAAGAGCAAAAACTTTAAGGGTTGGAAATTGTGAATGTTACGAACGGAGAATAAAAGGAGCAGGAGTGAAAAGACTGTTTTTTTAAATACCATGTTGGTTAGGATGATTGTATATATCTGTCTGTACGATTTCATGATCTTGTTAATTACTTGCATTGTGCGAAATTCAATATATCAACAGCAACTTTCCATAACATTAAAGCACAAAGAGAACATGTTCGTTTGGTTTCTGTGATTGTTTGGTTGAGATTGTTACACTGGTTATATTATTTACAATTCATCGTTTTTGTGATGTTTTATACACAAACAGACAATACATGTATTGTTTACTACAGAAACAATCATTCATAATGAATGATTGTACAATCTCAGCTTTTCGCATTGTGCTAGTTGAGATTGTTTTTTTTTCTTCCAAACTTTAACCTTTAGAAGTTACTTTTTGCATTGACTATGAAGGATACAATGACATATTTATTAAAAAGTTATTTTTCCTTTTAACTATTGAAAACACAATCACAAATATCAAACGTTGTAATCTACAATACACCAAATTCAACAATGCATGTATTGTTCACAATACATCAATTTAACAATCGGAGAAACCAAACTACCTTAAATTACCTAACTAGAGTTGAAGTTTTTTTTTCTTTTCTTTTAACAGCAGCTCATTAGAAGTACTACTGTGCAATGAGTAAACTGTGTTGTAAGTAGGGATGGCAATTTCGACCTGACCCGTTTTACCCGACCTGTTTGACCTGTTTTGGGGCGGGTCCGACCCGCCCCGTAGGCGGGGCGGGCATGGGTAGTCTCATCGACCCGACTTGCCCACTAATTAACAGATTTCATTCAGTTGTCCGCTTTGAATCTAGAACCACACGGGTTTTGATTTGAGGGTGTATATCAAGGTGATTTTCCGAGAAGTTACATATATTTGCATTGCTTCGTAGTGAATGCATTTAACTTTAGAGTTTATACAAGAGTTCTTCTATTTCATCCTGAAAGCGATGCATTGCATGTAATGTATTCATCATCAATTTGCGAGTAACCAGTTTGTTAAAACCACATTAATAATTTCACGCAACAATGAAATTCGCTACAAATCATAAAGAATTTTTTATGAGAATATATTTCTATCACTCATCATTTGGTACATTGTTTAATCAATATAATTGTACGATCCCCTAAAAATATATATATATAATTGTACGATAAAGTACATACGTATATTATCACTCGCACCAACTACATAGGTTTCTTCACTATCAAAAAGTATGTTAATCTATCAACATAATGTTAATCGCAAAAATCAAATATTAATAAATGTTATCATCCCAATTTAACATTAACACAGTTGGTTTAGTGCATTGGACAAAACTTATCTATTATATTCTGACCCTTTACAACTGTCCGATCGTAGACTCCAATGGCCAATCTATCATCATGAAAAATTGTGGACAACAAATTGCTATTCTTTCTGACCGAAATAAATAAATAAATAATACTAGAAATTCTCTCATCCTCGTTTATTACTTTATTTTCAATGAAAAATTAAAAATACAAGTAAGATGCTCATTGAAATTCTCTCATGAGAACGTTTTTTTTTTATAAAAGATAATCATATAATAGATAAAAAAAGATAGACAGTTACACCCTGGAGATCAGCCAGACCTGAAAATCAAAATAACGACTCATGAGAACGTGTTTACAATGTTTCAAATCGTCATATTATGTGTCGCCCGTGTCAGTAATTCGAGTTGATTGAATTTAGTGTACTGATAAATATTTTTATTAAATTATTTTTGTATTTATCTAATAGTTTAATTGTATACTATGTTCGTTCGAACAACTACGAATAATTATAAGCACATTAGTACGAGACGTTAATGTGTGAGCATCATAATCGGATTGCCGAACAAGGGCAAAGGCAGGCAACAGCCACAACAATTATTCTCCTCTTCCTCGCCTCTTCTTTACCCCGTTCTTTGCATATTCCTCCTCCCCTTTTTCCCCGTCAATTTGTCTTCATCCCAAAGTCCGCCATTTTTATTCCTCTTTTTTCCATAGTTATTAGCGATTTCCTCCTCCTACGTCTCCAATTCCAACTTCTCCTCCCTTGTTCTACACTTCTGCTTTCCCCTTCCCTTTCAATTTCAACGCTCTCTTCTCCTTGCCTTCTCCCCTACGCCCACGTCCCCCTGGAAATCTCTGCTTTTTTCCGCGCTTGGCGTCTGCGAGCTCTCTCTGTATATATAGGCAGAGAAATTTCGGCAGGTTTGAAATTCGGGAGTGCCTGCAATTCACGGTCGTTGAATTCCTCTTGTTTTCCGAATCGCTAAGAGTGTCAGTGTGTGCCCTAGCTGGTTTTTGTTTCTTGCGCGGAGTTGAGGCGGAGGAGGTTATGGAGGCGAATGCGAATCATCTGCCTAATGGCGAGGCGGCGGCGGCGGCGGTTCTGGATAGTCCGACTAACCCTATGGTCACTCCTCTCCTGACGGATCTCTATCAGTACACAATGGCTTACGCGTATTGGAAAGGCGGCAAGCACAACGATCGAGCTGTGTGAGTATTGCTTTTTCCCCTTTGCTGTTAGGCTGTCAGCTTTCCTTTTCTCCATGGTCTTTTCCCCCCCTATCTGGTGTTTGGTAGGTGGGAGAAGCGGGAGTTGAATACTCGAAGAAAGTATGGGGACTGGGGAACTAAGCAATTATTGTTGAATTGATGGCTACTTTATGATTCTGGAGCTCTTTCTGTGAATTTTAATTTGTTGAATGCTTCGTGCTGTAGGTTTACTGTACAAAGTTCTGGTAGCTGTCTTCTTCCCGCCAAAGATGTCCATTTTTCCCCCCCCAATTTCTGATGATATTGAACGGTTTCCTTTCAGGTTTGATTTGTACTTTCGAAGGAATCCTTTCGGCGGGGAGTACACCATTTTTGCTGGGCTTGAAGAATGCATCAAGTTCATTGCGAATTTCAAAATGAATGAGGGCGAGATCTCGTTCATCCGCCAAAGCCTGTCGGGTTCATGCGAGGTAAATTAAGCTGTCTGCGTGCCTAGTAGTGCAAATTTGCTGCTCTGAAATTGCTTGGGCGTTTCCTCCTCGACCCTGTAATGTGAATTGTCAAAACTACATTTGCTTAGTTTGAGAGCGGATTGAGAGTACCCTGAGCAGCAAGCCTCAGTGCAATTGTTTTCAGCAGATACCATTCTCGTATTTGTACTAAATATATTAGCATCCTGAGTCTGGCTGTGATTCTCAATCTTTTTAAAACTTAAAAGTATCATTAAGGCACGCTGCCCTTGCTGTGAAATTTGGCTCAGGTTACAGTTTTAGTAAAATGTACATGCGCTTAGATTGGGTTCAGAGTGAAGAACTTCACTTTTTAAATCTGTTGGATGAGAGTATAAATTATTGATCTTTGTTGATGCTGTGAATTTGTTAGACGGCTCTAGTGTATGAAAAGTTCATGTGGTGTAGGAATAGTTAGCAGGTGTTACATAAAAATTTCTTTTCTTGAATATTCGCGCATACTTTTTGTAATTTTGATGCCATAGAGGTCTAGCTGAGGGAACCCCAAACCATAGTTGAATCCGTTGTCCTAATAAAGTTAAGATCATACTTTCTAAAAACTGTTTTCTGGTGCCTGTTGAGATGCATTCGATAAAGGAATCTTCTTTCATTTAGTGCTGAATACTGTCCTCTCTGAGTTGGCAGGATGGTTTCTTTGATTATCTTCGAGAACTTGATTGCTCTGAAGTAGAAGCCTATGCTATTCCAGAGGGGTCTGTTGTTTTCCCTAAGGTACCCCTGATGAGAATTGAAGGACCAGTTGCTGTGAGTACCACTATTCTGTTTTCTTTCCTTATGTTTTATTTGAATTGAATCAATGTCAATAATTGTTCTTTGTTCTTAACTCACACAATCTGTTATTGCAGGTGGTTCAACTATTGGAGACCCCACTGTTGAATCTTGTAAATTTTGCATCATTAGTTGCAACAAATGCGGCGAGACACCGGTTTGTTGCAGGGAAATCAAAAATGCTACTCGAGTTTGGACTTCGACGTGCTCAGGTTGCTGAGCGTTTTTTCTCTTCTCCTTTATAATAAACCGTTGTAGTAAGTATCAATTTGAGAAGGAAACTTTGCTTATTCTGTAGGGACCTGATGGTGCCATAACTGCATCAAAGTACTGCTACATTGGAGGATTTGATGCAACAAGGTGAGTATTGCAGAAAAAAAGTGAATAAGTGACTTATAGTTTTTTACATGCGCATAGTATTAGGTTGTTACTTTGTTTCGTCCCTCTATTTTTATCAGTGACTTTCCAGTTTCCAGGCCTTACTTTGTCTCTGAGAGTCTGGTCTATTTTTGCACCTGCATGACCTTAACATGTTGCCGAGAAGCTTTTGGTTTCTTTTATCTTCAACTGATGTTTAGAATGGCTTCTTGTTTGACAGCAATGTTGCTGCTGGACGGTTATTTGGTATCCCCCTTCGCGGAACACATTCCCATGCTTTTGTCAGCTCATTTATGGTTGGTAATGAAAATTTTGAAACTGTAGAGCTATGTTTCTCCAACTTTGTTTTTGTGAGAAATGGAATGTGTTCGTTGGAATAGTGAACTAAGATATAGCACCTGATTCGTGGATGACCTAAAAATCATTATTCTTGTGAAAAGAAAATTTGGGGACAAACGTGAAGGTTGTGATTGAGCAAAATCATGGCTTTGTACTTGATTAGCTGGTTAGGTGCACCCTGGCCACTCTATGGGCGGTTTTATGAATTTATTCATGACGTTTTGGGTGGTGGTAACATAATTAGAGTTGTCACTGGCTACTCCCGTTCATTTGATTTTGATACTATTTTTCTGTTAATTAAGCTGTTTTCTTTCTTTTTCTTATCCTATTTGCAGAGTCCGGATGAAATCATAGAGAAATCACTTAAGAGCGCTGATGGCTCAACTATCTGTGAAGATTTTGTCAGTTTGGTCCAGACCTGGTTAAACAAAATAAAGGTACTAGGCATTGGCATTCTAGATTCTTTCTGTACTTGGCTTTGGGTATTCTTATATTTTAGTCCTACAGCTGACTATTGGTGCATGTGATTTTTTTTTTGTGTGCCTAATATGCCAGGCTGTGCAGTGGTCCAAATCATCAAATGGTGACACTAATCATAGTGAGCTAACAGCATTCACATCATACGCATTGGCCTTCCCTGACAATTTTCTGGCTCTTGTAGACACATATGATGTGAGTAAACATTTCAATTGTAACCTATTTTGAGTATTTTCATTTCCTTAAGTGGTGCTTGTTAATGCTGCTTCTTTACCAGTAATGCGCGTTTCCTATTATGACCACTTCTTGAAATTTTGTTAATGTGAGCAAAAAGAACCTACAAGCTTCCATGAGAGAACATAATTAATCAATATCCCTTACACAAACAGAATAAAGAACTGCCCTAAATGCTATCCACTCATACTTAAGCTTCTTGATCGGAATGTTAAATAAGACATGAATTGATATATCAATCAATTAGCTTGCTTGACGGAATACGTGGATTTTAAGAAATCATACATCTCGTAGATGGAATTGTAAGAATGTATGTAATGTTAGCATAGAATGTTTGTTTTGATGGAATTGTAATGTTGAACCTCATACAATTGGGTGTTTTGGTGCAATCTTTGGATTCAGGATACATGATAATGTATTCTGGAAACATATGGGTGTTGATATATATGGTTCTCGTACCAAATTCAGACTAGAAAAACAATGAATTGTTAGCGATCATGATTCTTAGGATCACATAAAACAATCCTGGGTTACCAAAAGACACCTTATATGTTTTATTTTACTGCTGTTGTCCTATATTTGACATTTCCTAACAAGACATGTGCGCCAACATCAACAGGTTATGAGGAGTGGGATCCCTAATTTTTGTGCAGTGGCTTTGGCACTGAATGATCTGGGGTATGTATAAAAAATATGCAATTCGATGGTTGTAGCAATTATTATATGTATCTGTTTATTTGAACTGTAACTTTATTTGAAGGCGTTGAAACATTATGGGATGAAAAATAAATTGAATTTCTTGATGATGTAAAGCACAATTTGTAATATATACTCCACTTGAACTTAAGAAGTTGATGAAGACTGATGAAAAACTTTACTCGAAACAACTAAAATTCTGATTTTCCGAACATTGTTTTTAAGAGAGTAAAATATATATACTCCTGAAACGTGATTGTGGGGTGTTGAACATTATCTTAAGCTGCTAATGTCTCTAGTTTCATTTCTTACAAAACTAATATATATTCAACTGTATTCTGCACATTAACCTTTGGGTTTTCTCTGTCATGTTAGTGTTTGTGCACAAATATCCTCTTTGGATTTTTTGTTACTATGTATACTTGCATAATAGTGCGACTGTATTTGAGGATTTTGCAGATATAAAGCTGGTGGCATCAGACTAGACTCTGGTGACTTGGCGTATTTGTCTTCTGAGGCTAGAAAGTTTTTCCAGTCCATTGAGAAGGAATTCTGTATTCCTGGTTTTGGGAAAACGAATATCACTGCTAGTAATGATCTCAATGAGGAAACTTTAGATGCTTTGAACAAACAGGTATGATGTTCGAGTTCCACATTGAAATAACTCAGGTCAGTTTAAAATAATTGTGAGAATTTTCAGTCTGACGAGGAGTGACAATGTCAGGGGCATGAAGTAGATTCATATGGAATTGGAACCTATCTGGTCACATGCTATTCTCAAGCTGCTTTGGGTTGCGTCTTCAAGCTTGTTGAGATAAATGGCGAACCTCGTATCAAACTTTCGGAAGATGTCTCTAAGGTGTGTGATCTCCTGCCTATCCCTAAACCTTTCGAGTAACATCTTCTGTTTGTGAGCTTATTTCTGGCTTCCATTATTGCTGCGGGTAGGTTTCTATACCATGCAAGAAACGGAGCTATAGATTATATGGTAAAGAAGGATATCCACTGGTAGACATAATGACACGAGAAAACGAACCTATTCCCAAGGTAATCCACTCCACTAAGCAGTTCCCGTGCTTTTCTCAGATCTATTATGGTGATTCTGGTGAAAGGGGAACCAAGCTCATAGCGGTTAGTTAGTGACTTTGTTGTTTTACCAGGTGGGAGAAAGGATACTGTGCCGTCATCCTTTCAATGAATCGAAGAGGGCCTTTGTTGTTCCACAGAAGGTCGACGACCTCTTGAAGTGTTATTGGCCTGGGACTTCAGGTAACTTCTTAGCTGTCTTGAAAATGGTAGAGGCAGGGCCAGTCATCAGAGTACGGTCCGGTCCAAGTTTTTCAATCCATTGTTTTCAGGCTGTGAATGTTACTAAACTGGATATTGTTTGCTTCATGGAAGGTAAACCAAGGGTAGAGCTGCCATCTCTGAATGAGACTAGAGAACGATGCATCAACCAGCTGGAGCAAATGCGGCCAGACCACATGAGACGGTTGAACCCGACACCATACAAGGTAAAATCCCTTTCTCCTGGAAAATGTGCGGACCTTCATCAATATTCATCCACTCCCTGTGGTATAATCAATCACTAAGGATCTGCGTCGAAACTTCTGAGCAGGTGAGCGTAAGCGCGAAGCTGTACGATTTCATCCACTTCCTATGGCTAAACGAGGCGCCTGTTGGAGAGCTGCAGTGAGCAGAGAGGGAAAATATGGGCTACTGGGGTGTGTACAAAATGGGTACATACGACTTGGTAGAGTCTGGAGTTTTGGCAGCATCCACAGATTCATATATTTACCATATAACCGAGGGATAGATGTACATTGCTACGAATTGTCTTTTCGTACCATGCCTTCGTTTTGATTGTTCGTTTCTTTGGGATCGGCTGTTTTAACTTGGTTTTTTCTCTAGTTTACTACTACAATCCCTTGTTTACTTACGGTCGAAGGAATAAAATGTGTACAATAAGCTCCGATTTGCCCAATTGGACCAACAGTTACATCCTCGACGATATGGTTTTTTCAGCATGTGCTCACGTCATTGGATTGTTGGGGTGAAATATCGATCTAGACATTTCTGACAACGACATTGCCGTAATTTTCTCCAGCCGCGGATTGGACAACCAAAGTTACGAGAGAAACCACAGGAGAAAGACTGGAATTTCTACTAGGCTACAGACTTCGGCCACTTTGATCTTGAGCAAGGCCAAGCATTGAAACCACCAGTAGTAACAATCAACAGTACATGATTTACGGACGATAATTACAACAAGAGACCAAGAAAAGGAATTGATATATTGATTTTTCCAAACACAGAAAGCAAGAACAGGGCAGCTATGAAGGAGTGGTGCAGAAAGTAGAAACAAGCTTCAGCCAGTGAAAAGGAGGTTGTTAAGCTGCACCCAACCATATGCACACCTATTCCTTATCTTCTCAGCTGTTGATACTGCAGCCTCCACTGCTCCTCGAGTCTTGCTTGGTTCTCCTCTCCATTGCCATTATCTTGCTCACCTCACTCTGTTGCACAAGTTCACCACCAACCCACCCAAACCCCGCCTTTCAGCCAAATTGTTCAAAGGACAGTTTCATCATCTGTGTCAGGTACGACCTGGAGTGCATCAACAACACCAACCTATTGCTGATCTCTTGCCTTCCCTCTGATGTCCGGATTGTTCAACTCCATCCACTTGTTGGCATTCTTCTATAGACCCAGCATTTAAGACAGTCACAACACAAGGGAGATGAGAGGTGGAGACTATAAAGTTCGATTACAAGCAATAGGTGTGTTCTCGAGCAGACTATACAAGATACAAAGACATGTATGCTATGTGCTACTTAAATACGTTTGTCAACTGAGGTAGCTAGTCGATAAGCAGGCACAAAACTGCTGCCTTATCCTGTTGTGAAGGGACTAGACTTAATCATGTGCTCGCAGGATGTTCTCTAGAGGGGAAGCTTTTGTTCCGACTTTCTCGTCCTGCTTAGTGAATTCCTAAACCTCAAAGAGACAGAAACACCAGAAAGAAAACACAAACAAAAAAGGGGACAGAAGGTAATTCCTCAAAAGTAGAAGAGGTTACCAATTATTGAGGGAGTTCACATTGATGTGCTGCTGTCTGACTGAACCCCAGAACTATGGCTTCCATCATCTGAACCTCGAAATTTCTTGTACCTTGGAATTGGGGTAGGCCAGCCAGAGACCATAGGCTGGAACACCATCCAATCGTGTAGATGCGGGTTGAGTTTATCTACAAACTCCAACTCCCCCCCACTTCTCAAATCACAGGTGAAGATACTCTCCACGTGAGAATCGCAATATCGTAAGAAGACAATTTCCGTCTTTTCTGGATGCAAAGCACATATCATGAACATTTTAAGTTGATAGTAGTCACCCATGCTTGATGATATCTTCACCAACCCTTCACATTGTTTCCTCCAGGACCTTCGATCTTCTTCCAATCTCCAAACGACCGCAGAACGGACACGAGCAGCAGGTGTTTCAGGAGGTTTAAGTTCAGCAACATGCAAAGCACCTTGTGAGACCATAACTTCCCACGTTTCTGCTAACATTGCAGAAACATCTGTATAAGTCCTGGGAGGTCTGTCAAGGAAGAAAGGATTAAGGGCACCAAGCACACGAGTCCGGTCCCGGGGATAATATGCATAAAACAACTCCCCGTTGCACAAAGATGAATGTTGAACCATAAAAACAACGCCTTGAACAACAAAAGCATCCTTAGTCCATTCTCCGGACTCTGAACAGAACACATCCACTCTCATAGATGCCCCAAACACCCATATAGACACCACCCGGAATCGAAATTCAGAAGAATAAACAAATGTCTTGCCGTCTCCCAGATCTAGATTAAAACTACTACGGGGTTCGCAGACTAACCTTGAAGCAATTATACCGCTACCCGTATTAGCTTGTTTCTTTCCAGGCGCCAAAGGAATGGCAATCCATTGCTTTGTAAACGGATTGCAGACCATGTAGGATCTGCCAATCCAGCAATCGCTGGTATCTGAATCCTTAAACCCGCACAATACCAAGTCCTTGAAGGAATCCAAAATTCCAAAATTTTCTCCGGGACTTCATCGGGAGGCAGGGGGAGAAAGCTCCGGATGACCGATTTTGGGTCGTGCGAGGGAAGAAACAGAGGCGCTCTGATTCCTGCCCTGATGGTGTGAAACGAAACGGCGATTGAAGCAGGGGTCGGAGATCAGAGAGCTCCACCGCCTTTCAACACCTTCGGCTTATTCCAAGAGACAAACTGTTGAATTCCACCATTAGGTTGGCCTTCAATTGATCTAGATTGAAAGGAGTGTCGGTTTCGTTGCCCTGTACCCAACAGCTATAGCTTCCATCGTACATAATTCGTAGCACCTGATACCTTGGAATCGGAGTGTACCAACAATAAACCTTAGATTGGAACATTCTCCAACGAAGAAAATATTGCAGCTTAGACACGAACTCTATCTCTCCCCCTGCCCCCAAATTGCAGGACAATTGACCACATTCAGGACCAGAATCCAAATGCTGGAAGAAGACAACTTCTGGTTTCTCTGGATGGAGAGCAGCTACAAAACACATGCCCGGGAGTTTAAAATTACCCAGCCTTACTGGCCCTTCACATACTTTCCTCCAAATTGTACCATCTCCATCATCCAGTCTCCAAACACTCAAGACCATCCCCGCACAAAATGTGAGCGCTGTGCCATGATCTTCGTACACAATCATGTGCAGAGCACCCTTCGACACAGAAATATTCCAGCTGCACTGTTGTTTGTCAAAGAGCGGGGTGGCAACATCGATTGGAGTGGGAGGTGCATCGAGGCGGAAAGGATTGATAGCCACAACACATGGTGCCTCTTTGTTTTGTGCTCTAAGATATGGCAAGAAAACAGCCCCATTGCACGAGACGACATCGATCCTTGGAGGTTTGAGAATGCCATCAAGAACAAGAGCCTCCTTCATCCATTCCCCGATCTCGGAACAGAACACGTCTAACTTGGTAGAGTTGCTGTGCTGATACATACACACCACCCGGAACCGATAGTCGGAGCTATGAGCAAATGCTTGGCCATCACCAAGATCAAGATTGATGTTAGAATCACAAACTAAGCTCGGAACCAAGCTCTTGTACCCAGCCGGTCTTTCAGGCGCCAGAGGAAGGGCTACCCACTGCTTCGTGAATGGATTGCACAGCAAGTACGATCTGAAGATTTCGTCATGGGAAAGGATCTCACCTGCTTCCGCAAACCCGCATAAAAGCAAGTCGTCCAAGGAATCGAAAACCATGAAATGCTGTGGGCGGCCGAATCTGTTGGCACCAGGAGCGGGCGTCGGGAGGAAGCCCCGGATGACCGATTCCGGGTCGTTGGAGGCGAGAAGGATAGGGGGTTTTGGTTCGTTGATGCTCTGATGGTGCGAAACGAAACGGCGGTTGAAACGGGGGCTGGAGATCACGGTTTTCCACCTCTTGCAGACAGATTTGCTCCGGCAGGCGGACCTAGGGTTCGGGAAGCTGAGAATCAGAATCTCCACGAGAAGGTCGTCTCCCAAGTTGCTTATCGTCATCGGAGATTGACAGACAGGGCAGACGAGGTTTACTTTCAGAAATCAGCTACCGACGATTGTACATATATATATATAGTATGGAGCTGCAGATCACCAATCCCTAATGGGAAAGGACACCTATGATTGAAACGGAAAAGGATTCCAATGGAAGAAATTTGGGTGCGTATTTTCTCAGCAGCATTTACATTTTTTTCTACTCCCGCCGTCCCAGGATAGCTCCGTCGCCGTCGTATAAGAAGTTGTAAAAATCCTGAAGCACGATAATAAAATTTTAGGTACTGAAATGTAATTTTCCATCAATATTTTGTGAATCTATATGCAAAAAAGATAAATTTAGATACATATTAAGTTTATGTACTAAACTGTAATTTGCAAACCCAAATCCATGAACTAAGAACCCATACGGCCGCCGCTAACTTGATCACTCACCGTGACACTAATCCTATACAGTCAGCTCTAGGACTAGAAGTGACAACCATCCGGTTCACATCAGATTGAATCATAGGGGAATGAATCAGTTTGGATCGTATATATTTCAATTTGATATTGATTTTATGAATTATATGAAGTTTGAAGAGAAAACATACCGAAATTTAATTTGAACCAGATCAAATCGAACCAAGTGAACCAAACATGCTTTTTGTCCGATTTTGGTCCTCGCTTTTCATTTGTTTTTGGCCCGATTCTATCTCGATTAGGTCTGGTTCGGGAGAATTTATCAGATGAACGGCTTGAGTTCAAGTCCTTAAGCCTCATTTCTTAAGAAAAATCTTAAAGTCTTCCTATTGGTTGATAATGGATTAGGTAGTTAATGGGGGTTAGTAGTTAATAGGTAGTTAAGAGTAAATAGAGTTATGTAAATATAATTAATTAATTAATGATTCTCTTTCTCTCTCCTCCCATGATTTTCTCCATAACCCTCTCTACATTATAATTAAAAAGAAATATGAAATTTATTTTATTTAATATTTAATAAAATCCGAATTTAATAATTTTCTTTTTCTAAAATGGAAATTTAAAATTTAAAATATATGCCTCTCTCACATCTTGGCAACTTCCTATTAGTATTAAGTATTAACATTTTGTAATGACATTATCAATATTTATAAATTGAATCATCATTAGGGCTTTTCATTGCATGGGTTTGAGATTTTTCGTTGTTAGGTATTCGTTTGTGTTATTATTAATGTTGTTCCACATATTTTTTAATAATTTTATATGACATTATTAACTTTTTATGTTATGTTTTGTTTGTAACATTAGCAAAAGTGAAATTGTGTTTTCAATTTGTTGGTACTTGAAGTTTATTTACTATTACATCGTATTATCAATTTGGTTCGCAATGATTTATAATCATTTGAAGTGCTATTATCAATGTTTTTTTTCCAAGCACAATACAACCATTAGCAAAAATTTATTTCATTTGTAAGATTGCTTATGTTTAGTGATTTGAATTATTAATATTTTTCGTTTATGTTTGTAACTTTGTCAAATGTCATTATCAAGAAGCATACTTGTTAGATATTACGTTTAATTATATAACTATGGTTATTAATCTTTCCGTCTAAGTTAGTAACGTAGTTGGTGTCATTATTAATAGGCGTGTAGAAGCATTATCAATGTTTGAAAATAAGATATTAATAATATCTAATAAGGTACTTAACAATCATTAGTTGCTATCATTATCAAAGTTTTTGGATGCATTATCCATTAAACACATGTTACTTATTAATGCGTTTTTACTGCTATTTGACATTAAACATTGCATCTGAATATTATTAATATTTTTTTATTACAAAAATCTATTTCCTTATCAGTGACTTGATCATTCGATATTAATGGTTTTTTATATCGTTATCAATGATTTATTGTATTGTTATTAAGAGTTTGGTCAAGCGTGAATGTTGGTTTGCTTGAGCTAATATTTTTCTGGACAATGTTTGTTTGACTGAATCACACAGGTGCACTATGTCACAAGTACCCAAGATGTTGAAAATTAGCATTGTGCTTTATGATCATTGAGAATGATAATGTAAAGCAATATTAATTGATCATAAAACGTTAATGATGTCAATAGAAATCATTGGAAGAGGCCATGACTAGATAGTTATAAACATGATGTGAAAATGTGAATCATTAGTACTAAAGATGTTGTAGATCAATGATATTGTTATTCAAACTATTAATGACTATGTTACATAACTTTAATGATTCATTTATAGGCGTTGATGACGAAACTATAAAACATTAACAATTGATCCAAAATTGTTAATAATGTAATTGTAAGGAATTGATAAGTATATTGAAGTCGTTAATAATGATGAGGTATAATAATAACGATTCATTTCATAAATGTTGATAATGTCATTGCAAAATGTTAATGATATAATTGTAAGGAATTGATAAGTATATTGAAGTCGTTAATAATGATGAGGTATAATAATAACAATTCATTTCATAAATGTTGATAATGTCATTGCAAAATATTAATATTCTATTGCAAGTTGCCACGAAGTGAGAGAGAGCATATATTTTTAATTTTCAATTTTCATTTTAAAAAATAAAAAATATTAAGTTCGAATTTATTAAATATTAAATAATAATATTTAATTTAATTAATTTCTAATTTCCTTTTAATTGTAGTGGAGAGAGAGGGTTATGGAGAAGATCAAGGGGGAGAGAGAAAGAGAATCATTAATGAGTAATATTAATTATATTTTCATAATATCTTATTTATTTCAACTAATTATTAACTACTAACCCCTCATTAACTACCTAATATAGTATCAGCTAATAAAAATAGTTTAAGAACCTCCTTAAATAATGAGGCTTAAGGACCGGATCCAACCCGCAGATGAACTGAAAAAAATCAAGAAGGAAAAGACGGGAAAACGTGGCATATGGTTTCGAGGCTACTTTTGGGCTAGACGCACTTTTCACAACCCTTAATCATGTAACTGAGCACAAAGGCATAAGAAATTGTCTCATAGTAAAGACAGAATTTTTAGAAGGGATATATATGGCTTCGGCCACTTTGACCTTAAGCAAGGCCAAGTATCGAAACCACCAACACTCAACAGTTACATACAATAATTACAACAAGAGATCAAAGAAAAGGAATTGATATCATGATTTTCCCAAACACAGAAAGCAGAAGCAAGAACAAGGCAGCTGTGAGGATGTGGGCAGAAAGCAGAGAAAACTTCAGCCAGTGAAAAGGAGGTTGCTAAGCTGCACCCAACCATATGCACACCTATCCCTCATTTTCTCAACTGTTGATACTGCAGCCTCCACTACTCCTCTGACCTTGTTCAGCTCTTCCTCCATTCCCATTCTCTTGGTCAATTCCATCTGCTGCACCTGTTCAACATCAACCAACCAAAACCCTACTCTTAATAACATCATTCCATCTGATTCAATAGCATTTGCATTTGCCGATCGCCTCTAGTTGATCAACTAAACAAGTTACTCTGTTATGAATTTCGCATTCTACTTCTTTCTATTCCATCAAACTCCAAGTTACTCTCACAGTCAATTTAATCGTTTCACACCGCATCACACAGTGCCTTCGTTCCAGAAGCGTCAACTAGAAAGATTACCTTTTGAAGGCCGCGCTCTGTGTCGAGTACATAGCAGAAGTATGAAAGTTGCTTGTACAGATCTGCTTCAGTGTACTGATTCATAATATAACAAAACAAAACAAACAAAAAGGGCCACGCTTGTCACTACCAAAGTATTTTCGAAGTTTTAGTATCACTAACTGTATTTCATTCCATGGACTAGATTGAGTTCCAAGTTATACTACCTTCCGCACAAGCCGCCCATTGCACCTGGGATAGTTTGGACAAACTGTTCCTCTCTCCGAGTCGCCAACCAACCGCAAGTTCACGCTCCGCGTTGTATGCTTGCAACTTTCATCATCACACTGAACCCAGCAAAACAAATCCATCATGAACCGTTGACAACGGTTGTAACATATCAACATTGCCAAATAGAAAGAAAAGATTTAGTGCATTACCATCATTACGCCTTTATAGTACATAGAAACAAATCTCTCCGCTTGCCTTCTAACCTGAAACCGAAAACAATAAGACAAGGTAAAACATACGTAAGTATGCACTGAACTTGATTGCGGTGTACCAGGGAACAGCTAATATATGTAAGAATTTACCTGGTTGGCTATCATTGCTGGAGATAGTCTACCGACATTGGCTTCTTCTGGGCACTTTGGGCATCGCATTGTATGCCAGAAATTGACCGTAGGTTCTTGTGGTGGTTGTACTTTTGTCGTTGTTTCATTGGATGCCTTGTAAAGGGAACCGAAGATTGCAGGACAATCTAAGGTATTGGAGCAGCTAGGACAGGTCAAGACCAATGGTTCGCAACTATGGTATCTGTTGCATATAGTTCACAAATAGTGGAAATAAGAATGACTACCAGGAAATATGGGTGGTTAACTGGTTTGCCCCGGTTAGCCGAACCCAAAAATCCGTTCAGGAGTCGCTAATTCAAACTGTAACTGAACCCTTACTGTGACCCACATGAACTTTTTGCAAGACATTCACAGACGTGAAGGCATCAAGTATAGTATCCGTACCTCTCCTCGTCGTTCCCGGCAAACAAAAGTGAGCTGGAAGGATCACTATCTGCAGCTTCAGTAGATCTACTTTGGAACTGAAACCATTAACAGCACTAGTATCAATGAATACATATATCCATGGTTGTATAACTATCGCATTAGTAATAAAGCATTTTTATTTACCCTGGATGAGTCAAGCCCCAAGCAATCAGCCAGCCTTTCTGGACTTGTACCCTGAATTGAAGCACATAAACGTGATACCACCGGGTGAATTTGCTGAGACAAATAGTATTCTATATCAATCATCCATTTGCCACTATCTTTTTTCAATTCATCTGGATGTCTAGCACGCTGAGCAATCCCTGTGGAACCTCCTCCAGAACTAGAGCCCTACAGAGTGGGGTAAGAAACAATGGATTACATATCCGCGATGTAAGAGCATCACACCAGTTATTCTTTATTTTGATGTACAACCAGAAACACTGCAGCAACCTGCTCATTGCATATTATGTATGGAACTGTGTCATGGGCCGAGCAACCAGATGTATGACCACTTTGCTTCAGTCTGAGTGCAACCTGAAAATTGCACCAGAGACTATCAAATATTCACTCACACCAGTATTAAGAACACAATTCCATTTTACCATCATACTTACCATAACATGGGGCTGGTTTTTAGCATCGGTGTATGCTTCAGGAGGTTTAGTCAATGTCTTGGTGATGACATATTTCTCGAGTGCTACCTGTCCACTTCTCATATCATCTTGCACCTGTTAAATACAGGCAACATGAGTAAGACCTCTTTAAGTGGCAAACCAACATCTAAAAAAATTAATGTTTAGGAGAGATAATGATGCAGCAATCGATGACTGCTAGAGAAGTGAATATTATATGTATACAGTTTTTTTTTTTTTTTTTTTGGGGTAGAAATATGTATCAGTATTGAAGGACATAAAGTGAATTCACTCGGCCCATTTTATAAAGTTCTCCATTTTCAGAATGAAGGAAATACAATACCATACCTTCGTAAGAGCATTATGTATAGACTCCACCACATCTTCACATGACCTGGATGAAGATACACCCCAAGATGACATGTCGTGTCAGCCTGGTATCACCTTAATTACAGACGCTTAAATTGTAAAAATGAGAAAGGATGAAAGCACACCCCCCAGATAAGATCTGTGTGAGACAGAAATCTCCCAGTTCCTTGGCTAGCAAGCTCCAGTCACGACGAACCATGTCAATACCTTTACGTTCAATAACCTGCACTAACAAGGGTTTTTATCATGCACTGAATTTCTGAACAAGGCATCAGTACTTGAGACTCTTAGCAAGTGTACCTCATATGGTGTCCCATCTTTGAACTGAATCTTCACAGCTGCATACTTTTTCTTTTTTAGTAGCAGCATTCTCTTGTACACACCATCAAGATCTATTTCTAGACACCTGTACTTCTTGTTCACCTGAGGAGAGGTGAAGAAAGTTCAAAAACTTCAACCATTTAGTACTAGACTAGTGCTTAAAACCAAGAGCTTTCTCATTTGAGCATATTAAACATTCGAACTTAAAAGCCATCTATTTCAGCAGTCTGTATGTATTTCAGACCATCAACAATTATCAGCTGAAAAGCTAATTCAGGCATCAAATTACGTTTACAATTTCCCTTTTCCAAATTCCAATTATTATGTTGTTATATGGAAAACAACAAGCAAAAACAAGCTGCAGAATGAACCTTGCCTGTATAATCTTCATGGAACAATATTGATTACAAACTGAGCAGATTACAAGGGTAAGAGATCTTCTCTTATACCAAGCTCTGTACATGATGCAGTCAACTACTTTGTGCTTTTGTTCTACCTAAACATGCTATACAATCATATACAGAGCCATAGATCTCACCTCCTGAATGACCTTCCCAGCAATTGCTTTTGCTTTTGCTATATCATCTAGTCCACTGTAAATCATGATTGAATCTGTATCACCATAAATGACCTGCCCATCCAAAAGACAAAATTTAAGCGTGATGAGAGAAATGCACATAAGGAATACCATAAGCAAAAATTAGGCCTTGGCCTGAACGTGTAAATTTTAACCTCGAAATTCAGGTTATGTTGAACAAGATCAACAGTGCTTTGCAGAATCTCCCTCCCCTGCACAACAATTAAAAAAAATGTCTCAACAAAGAATTGGAACGAAGGCAGCCTATTTTCTCGAGTAAGACAACCTACTCAGGCCGCAAAATTAGTATAGCCTACCTGTAAAGTTATAAGCTCCGCAAGAGGCTTTGCATAAAATCTTGAGTTCGAAAATCCAAGACATCCATACATGCTGCATGACCACCCAAGGAAAATTAAAGAATAAAAAGCAAAAGGACATATCTGGAAAACACTCATGATGGGAATCAGGAAAGAAGAAAGGGAAACCTATTAGCAGTTAGCTTGAGTGCTTGTTGTCGAATGTCAAGCTCTTGGAGCTCAAGACCTGATGCACTCTTCATCAGTTTCTTTACATTTCTCCTCCGCTCAACTAAATTTTTCAGCAGCTTCAATAAAAAGAAAAGTTTACAATGTAAGCTTGACAAGGGAGTAAAGCATGCACTTAATGCATAGAAAAGTACAAACCAAAGCAGCAACAGCTTCCAAATGAAAGTAAAGTTAAGACCTTTTCACAGTTACTTCAAATAGTACTTTCTCCAGAACTTACATGTTTATGTTAGGAAAGCTTGTTGACTTGAGAAACTTAGTTTCAAGGCAACCAAAATGACAGGCTAACAGTAAAGATCAAAATTCCTATGGCATCAATTGCCAACAAGGCCAAATTTGGGTTACCAGATGCAAGGTTTCATACCTCAGGCAAGACTCCAGGTGTTTTGCTGGAAGGTAGACGCGAAGCTATGCCATCTGAAGATCTTTCAATTGTTGTGAAGCAGATATTATATTCCTGCAATATGCATGGACGAAAAATTAATGTTAAGCAACTAACAATGATAGATTCACATGTAATTAGGAAAAGATCAAGATAAAATAGAAAGGGATAATCTTCAACCTGAATGATAGAAGGATAAAGACTATTGAAGTCCAAAAGCAGTACATATTTGTCATACAATCCCTTCTTGGGCTCCAGAACCAAGCCACCAGCATAGGCAGGACCTTTTTTTCCTTTGCCATGATCATTATCCGGAACTTCATTTTCGAAATTGGTGCCCTCAACCTCCAACTCTTCTGCGACCCTATTGTCAGCACTGTGACTCATTCTTCGTTTTGTCACGTTTGCTTCCTTTACAGGATAGGAACGTCGTTTGTCTGGCACAACATACTTCTTTGAATGGAAAGCATGCAATAGAAGATACTCCACTCTCAATGCCCTGGCGCCCTGGAAACTCTCAGGTCAGATGAATTGAATTACATGTTTACAGGTGGTTGGTAACTATGTAAACAAAATAAATTTGGACAGGAAAAAAGACTCACTTGGAGAGTTTCTCCCCAAAGATTACCACTGATGTTGGTTAGCTGGCGTGTGAGGGGAAGAACACTTAAGTGAAACATGAGTTCCATAGACAGCCATGCATCTGTCTCGCCATATTCAATCTGAATGCATCAACAGACAGATTGTGAGATACATTATAACATAGCATTGGAATATCTGGTGAATCTGAGAAACTGACACAGTGGATAAAAGTAATAGCAATTTTTTTCAAACAAAAGAGTGAACTTTTATGTAACAAAGCTATATCACTAAATTTTAAATTGAAGAACTTACTAGCTCAATAAGAGATTCAGAGGCCTGGAACATATTTGGGATATCATGGGAGTGGACCTCCTTTCGATCTTTATTCAATCGAGTCTTCGCAAGTTGTGTCAAAGAATAGCTGACCTGGGTGAAACAACAACCACAGGTTGAAAGTTGCCTTACTAAAAAAAATATAGTTGTTGTGTCCTGCACTTGCTGAATTGCAAACAAGAAATGGAGCAGCTAAGAGTTATTATACCTCCTTTAGTAGGTCACGGGAGCATATATAAGTGTCGCACAATAGCCGACCAGATAAGCAAGACATGATTCCCTTACTAGCTCTCAAACCATTTGGTTTGAAAAGCTTGGGCATCACAGAACGCTTCAGACGGCCTAGTTTGGACCACATGCTGCTTGAAACTCGGCAAGCCTATACATAATTGATAAAGGGTACATTAAGCACAATGAAATTCCATTATATATTGGAAATAAAATGTGAATATGCACTCTATCTCTATAAAAACCATGGATGTCCCTATTGATTTTGAGGTACTGCATTGCATACTCACGTAAAAGAAACAAATGAGATAGAAAAAAAATTAAAGATGAGACTGAATGACCCAACGATACAACCTTCTAATTGCAGATGACCTTGCATAGTAAACCAATTATGTTCATCAACATTTCTGGTTCAAATATTTGACGCCAACAAGATGTTATGTATACAATACCTACCTACCGAAATTCGGTGAAATCTGGTCTACCTAATTTATATACCACCAACAACCTATAATATGTATACAAGAGTAGAATTTCACTCTAACACGAGAAAATGGAAAACAATCCATAACTGATTGTCAACATAACTCCGACTAAAAGCTTATTTACAATAGAAGGGTCAGAAGGCACCTGTGCTCTGTTCAAAAGAACGTCCAGGTCAAACCCGGATATGTTATGTCCGACAAGAACATCAGTATCCAATTTATGCAATTCCGTCATCAGGCAATTCAACAAAGCTCTTTCACTGCAATGCATTGTCAAATTTACTTAAAACTGGGAACAACATAAGTCATTTCCAATTATAGAAGTAGAACCATCGTATGCAAGGGTTCACTTTACCTGCTTTCCATAGATAAGACGGTTGACCCAGGCCCAGCTTTCGTGTTCCTGTCAGCCAGCACCTTTGAGAACCCCAGTGGAAATATACCTCCATCAAGCTTGCGGACCACAGTAAAATGACTGAGCAATCCAGGTTTCTTCCATTCTGAAGCCAACATTGGGATATCAATCTGAAAGCATGACCGGATAAGTGACATAGTTTCAGCTCAATCCAAAGTCGAGAAACTAGCAACATAACTTACAACTCCAGCTATAAGATATCATAGGCTCAAGCACGCACATGGTAATTAATCAACAACCTATTGCATGTAATCTCTAGAACTATTCACGATAAAATTGGATTGATCCCATTAAATATAAGGGCATGATAGTCAAACGAGATCACAGAAACTGCAACTCCTTTCAAAAATCATTTTATGACAAGATGGAAGCAACCTTTCTTTCGTAGAGAGAGAGAGATCGTAGTCTTTATTTGTCAGTCAAACTGTGGACACTTATGCCTAACATCACGGATAACTAATCCTTCCATTCACTAATCATAGGGAGGCAAAACCATAAGCAGCCCAGTCTAATCAATGTATCCATCTTCATTGATCAAGACTAATGTTATCTCGGAAAGTAATGCAGCAAGGATGTAAATTTCATAATCCAACCAGAACAAGCAGAAAGCATGAACACATACAGTAACACAGAAGAAGAATTGAAATTAACAGCAGTAGAGCTTAACGGCTTATAAACACACCTTTGCCTTGTGACAGCAGATGACAGATGCAGAGACTATCTCGTTCGCATTATGCTTCTCATTGAAGATAGTTTTCAAACTTATTGCTGTAACAACCACAGGAGGAATTTCTGAAGTAATTTTCGACGAAGATGCAGCCTGGATGTCTCTTGGGGAGTCAACAACAATCTCATACTTGCACCAACTCACCTGTTGATCATCATCGCAATAGAAGTTAATACATAAAATCATTTTACAGAACAATAGACAGTTTGAGAAAGATTGAAATCTTACCTTCTGAGAAGACTGACAAGTAGCGAACTTTGAAATCAATAACCATGACGGTCCCTTTATCTTTCTTTTCACAAGAAAAAGCTCCAAGGCACTGCACATGTAACACTATTGTTACTAGTTTCTTTACAATAACAAGAAATCAAAAAGGTTTTGAGATTTTTTGTTGTTTCTTTTCTTCAAACTGAAGAGAGAGAGTGGGTATTTGGGTTCTTCAGCATAGAAAGTTTCAAAGGCCAGGACAAACAAAGCAAGTTCAAAGCCAACATGAATCTCCAGAATGCATTACAATGAGATGTATGTCAAATATTGAGTTTGAAGGGACTGTGCTATAATATCAACTTTCAAAACCTCAATGAATGGCAGATATGGACAAATGCTAAATATAAAAAGCAATCTCTGTGTCGAACAGCAGCGAAATGAGCTCCAAACACACCTGCTATCGGTCCCAAGCAAAGTGCAAAATGTTTCTCCTCTTAGATCTGCAGGAAGTGATGAATCCTGAAACAATGGAGCCAAATTCAGCATCTTTCACAAACAATGTCTAGCAAAGTATGATATAACTACGGTCCAAACAAGTTGAAGAGCTGTATTTTCAGGGTTTAAACGAAATTCACAAGTGGCAGGACCAATTGTTCAGCTATACAGCTGCATACCTTGAATGGGTAACTAATCTTAAGTACGTAATTCTCCCCGACAGGAACATCAGGACGCTCAAACGAATACTTTCTCTGCCAACAGAAAGAAGTAAAAAAAACACACACAATAAACAGGAGTTGTGCACTACGGAGCTGCAAAAGGAAGTGTGAAGTACACAATTTCGCCAGTATTAAGTATCAATCATATTTTCCAAACCTTGACAGGTTTCATGCTAAAACTTGATACATTGAGCTTTAGTAATTGGTCTGCTACTTCATTCTTCAGTCCACATGCCACATCCTTCAGAATAAGATTATAGCAAAGGCAATAAAAAGTGAGGAAACGAAGATTATATATCATCTCTGAGTGATCTCATCTATCAATCTGTATTCTTTCACAGCAGATGCTTACTTGAAGCTTTCTACGGAAATCTGCAAGAGGAATCCGTGATTCTTCAACATCTTTCTCAAGCCTCAGCATCTCATCAGTTTGAAATATAGAACTGTTTGGAATTGCATAAACACATCTCTGCGTGTGCTTTACTACCACACAACAACTATGATATGCATTCCCTGCTTTCACCTGAATTTCAGTATTTCCACAAAACAAGGCTCGTCAAACCAAAATGCTAAAATTAGTTACTTCAAAATAAAACCAAGAAATTAAAAATGTCTTACCTTTCCGAAGAGATAAAGGCTACCACGATTATTTCCAAACACCTCTTCATAAGCATCAAGTATGTAAAACGGTAAAGATCCATTGGCATCAACCTCAAACTCTGGTTGCTCTTCACTACGTGAACCCATCTTATTCTCCTCTTTAACACAACTAATTACAACACTCCCACCACTTCTTTTCACTTCTTCCCATCCAGCTGTGGCACTTAAACTTGGATCTCTTTCTTCTGTACCAATCTTGGCATTCAGAGTTTGCCCTGCATCTTCCTTCACCACTGGTTCCAACTTTACCTCACTAACATTCTCCACTCCTTTCTCCTCCTCCTTCTCCTCCTCTTTTGCATTAATAACCAGGATCTCTTTCTCATCCCCGCCGCAATCATTTTCTACGGAACCAACAACAGGATCGGCACTACGCAAGGCGAACCTGTCTGGGTTATCCACCATTTGATTTCCATTACTGACCACAGAAGTATTAATTTTAACCCGCAACACACCGCTCGCCACTGGATGGCCCCTTCTTCGCTTTTCTCTATCAGCTTCATCTGGTGCAAATTCCGCAATCACATCATCAACAATGCTATCGCAGTCAAAAGTCTTGACATTACCAGAATCCCGGTTCCTGAACACCGTCGAGGTGAACATAGCCGACAATTTCTGCTTCCCCATCATCGCCGCAGCGGCTGTTAGAGAAGCGTGGGCCTTCTTCTGGGGAGGTTCTTTCTCCTTCTTCTTCTCTGGTTTCTTCCTCTTCGACCTATTCCTGTTGTCCCCTCCGCCGTCGGACTCGTCGGAGGAAGTAGGGAGACCAGGCTTGGACCAATCCTCCTCCTCGCCCTCGTCGCCGTACCCTTGTCCATCGTCGTCGACTATAAACCCTTGGGCTTCTTCTTTCCGGCGAGCAACGAGCTTGGCGTACTCCTCCTCGGGGACGGTGTCGTAGATTGGATTCTCGCTCTTGATGTCGTATCCTATTCCAGTTTCAGATCTACGGCCACCGCTGCGGAGGAGTTTGAGGCGCTCTAACGCTTCCGCCCTCGCTGTCGCCGCAGCCCCAGATACCCTGCTGCTACGCCTGCTGGCCACTACTGTCTGCTCCTCGTCGCTCATTTCGCTTCTTGGAGACTGCTTGCCTGAATTACTGGAGAACGGGCGACTAGGGTTTTGCAGTGATAGAGAGGCGTCAGGAAACTAGGAAAGGGGGGAAATGATTTCACAGTGTTTTTTTTTTTTTCCCAACTTAGATGGCGGGAAAATTGAGAGCAGGTTGGCGCCAATCCGATGTATGATGCAAGTAAAGTAACCCGCAATTTGCGTGCCAGCTCAGTTGAAGAATAGCGGCATGTGCTCTTAGCGGGCTCTAATTACACAATTTATGGGCCCACTAAGTTAAGGGTCAATCAATTCAGTTGGATTGAAGGCCCGCCTTTCACTTGGATTCGCAAGGACCTGGCCCAATGTTGTCAAACCGGATTTCGTTATGTGGATTTGCCAAGTGAAACAGTATGACTAGTTGTAACGATTTCAATATAATACATGTGAAAAATGGAAATAATCAATAACAAATAAATTAATTAGGAAAAAGAAATTAAAAGAGTCAATTAACGCAAAATAATTGATAGTTAGGATTAGATAATTAATAGTAAACAAATAGATACATAAAAAATAAAGGATATAAAATGAATTTTAATAGCATTGGTTAATATATATAACAAAGGTCTACATATATTTGAAACTTTTGAGCATGAGGTAGTTGGTTCAAATTTTGCTGGTTTAATCGATTGGTATTCTCGGTATTGACCGGATACCAAGAATGAATACCGACCACTTCATAGCTGGTTTATTTTTTAATGACATGTGTGAAAATACTGAAATTTAGTTTACGGTCTAACAGGTCGTTATTCTTGGTATTGATCGGATTTAACCAAGACTGAATGTTGACCCCTTTCTAACCGGTTTGGTGATAGATACCGATCGTATCAGGTTGACTTGGTCGGAAGTTGGTGTGACAACCAGTTTGCCCTCACCAAAGTACCACTTTACCTCAAAAGGGGAAAATTGTAGTAATTAAGTGTAATAATTGGTTATGTCGTTCACGGTACAATCGCTAGCCAGCTTTTAACATTTAATCGTGAACCATCAAGAAGCATGCGGGCTGTTTAACGGAAGGTGAAAATCCCTTATTGGATTATCAATTTATACACTGTTAATAAATCGGCGGTTGGCGGTTAGCCAGTTACTTGATTAATAACCGATAAAGGTTGTTAACCATCCAATATAGGCAAAAAGCCACACTCAACTCAACAAAGGAAACAACTTCGCCCTAACCACTCAACACTCACTGATTTTGATCTCATCATCTTCTCGCTCAAACAAAGAACGGAGGCCCGGTTGACGAGGTGGTGTCGTGAACCATGAATCATTGGTTATCGTGCTATGGGCTCTCTCGGGTGGCTTCCCAGTCATAGAGAGAGAGAAGCGACGATAGGCGGCTTTGATGTTGTCGTTCTTGTCAACCCTCCTCCTCTATTTTACTTTAACGGAGAAGAGAGGAGAGGAGAAAGAGATGGTTGTTTGTTTGAGAGTGTAGGAAAATGAGGGGTGTGTTTACTTATGTTCGTTGGTTCACAAAGTAAGTGGATTTGCCTTCTGTCAAATCCACGACCCCCCCCCTCTTTTAGACGAGTAAGTGGCTAGTCGTTAAAATAGTTGTTAACCGCATCGACGGATAACGGTTAACCGCTAAGCCGTCGGTTCGAATGACGGTGCTAGCCGCATTATCGATTAACAGTTAGCTGATAATCAACCTAACTATCACCCCAAGTAATAACACTCAAAATGTTAGTATGACCTCTAGAAATGCATTACTAAAAATACTAGAACACAAATTCGATTGATCTTACTCTTGACCCAATTATTTCACTCTTTCGATGACAGGAAGTGAATCTGGTAACCTTGGTCCCAATTCAAACCAAATAATTAGGGTTAGAACCCTGCATATCTACTTTGGATTGTGTAGAAACATTATTAGTTAAATGAACAACTGCATTTCTTATTAGAAAAGGGGCTTTTGGCCACTCGCCCAGCCGCGCCTTTGTCTGTGTCTTCTGGCCTGCGATGGTGTGTATGATTGGATTCCCTTCTGTCGGTAGGAGGGGGAAGGAATAGGATAATAATAATAACATTAACATGATTAACACAAAGAAGTAAAAAGAAAACTCAATACTATGCAATAATTAGTGAGCCACTAATTGTTCTAAAAATGCAAAAATAAAAAAAACGTTAATAATATTGCGAAGTCTTACCGTATGATTGACGTATAATGTACGTTATCGCTTGTTATTTTTTTATTAATTAATTTTATGATTTGAGTTTAGAAAAATTGGCGATTGTGGTTCACTCATCGAAGATTAAGATTTGATATCATGTCGGAGCATTTGATTAGTTTATAGTCTACAAAACAAAACTCACTAAGTATATATACTATTAATCAGATTATTAGGCCCAAATTTACAACTCCGCCAGGCATTTGCCTTGTACCACGCTGCACATATGATCGTGGTTTAAGAAACCCTACCATACCGATCGGTCCAATCGGAAATGCGGGATACTGAACTCTAAACGGTAGGCGGTCGTAGCGGTACAAAGCGATTGAATAACTGTTCAACCACGATTTCAATACAAAATAGTGATACCCTACCACTAACTTTTTCGATATAACTTCTAATATGATTTCACGAACATACGTAGTGGTTAAACATTCCGAACCATGACTAATCATGGACAGAAAGAACTTTCCCAAAACAAATGAAAAAGAAAACATTGACCGTATCATTAATCAATCAGAAAGTATGATAAAGACACTAATCATACCCACAAAAACAGGAAGAATCTTTGGACCAAAACCAACCAAACCACTAACCATCAGGGATGGGGGGGAAGAAGAAAGACATCTATTCAAGCCCAATATAATCATGTATTCTTTTCTTTCTCATAACTAAAATACTCATATTTTTTCAGAGAGCAAAAAACAACCAAAACCTGTACCAAACCTGTGCTAGAAATGTCCAATTGTTTTTTGTCCAATTACTCTATTGAATCCAACAGAAAACCTAACCTCGTTGATGAGGTAGTTTACAATTCACATACTTCTTAAAAAATTTATTCAAGAAACTATACCTACCATCCAATTGAATATGAGATACAAGGGATCAATCCAAAGGTGTACTAATAAGTGTGTGATAGGGTGTTTTGTGGTTTAATCGTGATTTAACTGTTACATATCAGTAAAAAAATTATACCGATCGGAGTTTTGATGGACAATTTTTTTTCTCCAGTCGGACTGGCCGATACAATACTGTTTAGCAAACAGTCGATTGTACTACGCTTAATGGCCACATATGCAACTCATTTCACTTAATATTTACCGTGTGAGGATAATCAGTAACATGGATAGTAAGTCAACAACAAATTCGACAAAAATTTCGCCCTAACTAAACGGAATCAATTGTATCACAACAAAACCAATCAAAGATTGAAACATTAGAGAAACTCTTGCTCTTTGTTATTATTGAGAAACCTAGTACTACCCTATTCAAGGAGGGGTTTTAATGTCTTGGTAAAGGGAACTTCAACATGAATCTAACCAAAAAATCAGACTACTACTTAATCCTAATTACACGTGGTTCTTATACCAAGTGAATTCTCCATCAAAGTGAAAGCAACCCTTCTTTCTCATAAAACTAGTGTGGGCCCCGGCCATTTGGCCGGACGAAGATGAGGTATGAAATTTGATAATGTAATGGGGTGTATAGTTTTTTTTTTGGGAAACACGTGATAAAAATAGTGAATTTTAGTAGAAAAGAGACATGAATGATGCAACGAATCAAAAATCAGTCTTATGAACCAAAATCAAGTACATGTTACCTTGTGAAACAATATTGTTTCTGGTAATATGATGAGGTGGAGTAAGTTTTATAGAAACCGAATTCCAGAAAATCGAATAAAAAATCGCATATCCCGCCGATTTTCAGGAAATGAGCATCTCACAATCGTTGCTAGCTTTTACTCGGCCCGTTGGCCGATTAATTTTCTTTATAAAACTTTCATCTTCTCATCATTGTGCTTTCTGGTTTTTTGCCAAGCCATGATAAAATCTAAAGAAATCAAGAATGAACAGCACGATTTGGGATAGGAACCACCGTTCCCGTATCCCTAGAAAATGGTGGTAAACACGGACTCACCTGCCAAACTGGTTTGGATTGAGATTTTTATAGGGTATCAGATAACCATGTGATTATAAATTAGACTTGATCAAAATGGGCCAAAACTTGAAAATCAGCTTGTTTGATCGACCCATGCCAAACTCTAATTATTCTTTACTTTTAAACTTTATATTTGAAAATAAAAAATAATAAAAGAAAAGAGATGACTGCAATTCACCATTTGCACATCACTGATTCGGGAATAAAACTATAGAATTTCGAAAGGAAACTGAAAATGTTTAGGATCGTTTTAATGTTAAAAATAACCAAATAGATCTTTCTGTTTAGTTTTTTACTAACAAATACCAAACGATTCCCTATAATATACACTATAATTTAATCATTATGATATCAAATAATTACATAATATATATTTGAAATGATAAAAATTGGACTAATTGAGTTGGTCGAAGTTGAACCATTGAATAACTTTATAATACATTATATTTTAGCCACTAAGATATAAAATAATAGCATAGTATATATTATGCTAGAGAAAATAGCTTGTTTTAGAATGGCAAACCCATGATGTTCATTTGTTTTACTTGATGGGCAAATCCCTTGTAGGTCAGACCCGTTCAACTCTTTTATTTTATGATTAGCGGTTAGCCCATTAGAATCCATGCATTAGTTTATTGTTAATTTTTTTCTTTTTAGCAATAAAAAGGAGTATTGGTTTTGCCTTTTCATATATATATTTTACCACCATGGAGAAATAAAAGGACTTAAAGAAAAAAATTGACACTCCTGGACCCGTTTAAATCCGCATGTGTACGGTAAGTTGGCCCGTTCCACAGAGGAAAAAGAAAAAAATTGACACTCACTATTCTACTATTCCTACAAACGCTCCCGGAGCAGGGAATTTTAAATGGAGAAGAGTTTTTTCCTCTCTGCAATTATATGTTTTTAATTTAAAAATAT